ATTCTTAAAAATTTTAATAAAACTTTAATCAATTAAAAAAAATTAAAAGAAGTTATAAAAAAACATAAAGAAGTCATAAATTAATATTAAAAAAATCCTAAAGAAATTATTTAAAGAAATATTTTTAATAAACTCTTTAAAAAAAATCTTTAAATTTTTTAAAATCGTAAGTCACTCAAAAACAATCGTAACTTTGCAAAGCCTTTATAAAATTATTACACATTCAAATCACTTGATTCTAATGCTTAAAGAACCTTTCTTCTATCTACTCTCAAATATTATTCTCTAATCAACCAAAAAACCCTAAAGTTGCCATAAACGTACAATTATAAACCTCGGGATCTGATTTCAATCTTGGTTCACAACCAGTCTTCTCCGCGTATCAATTCTTATTATTTTGAAATAATTTTTGCTAAAACTTATTTTTAATCTTTTCCTAAATATGCCTATATTAATTATTTAATTTATTTACTTTGATTTGGCTTATTTATACTCCTACAAAGTAAATAGATATCTCTTCTATAAAAAAAGTAGCATTAAGGTTAAAGTTTTTACTACATTTCTATTATTTATCATTATTTTTTCTATTATATCTTTCTATTAGGCTTTTCTATAATAATATCCATATTTTTATTTTTCATCATATAGTCGTATTACCACATGATACCACTCAAAGTGAGTTCTTTGTTTACATATGATGTACATTGAAAGATTTGTCTTTGTATTATTTGTCTACATCAATGATATACTAATTGATAGCAAGAACTTTAAGATCTTTGTAAATTTTAAAGATAAATTGCATGAATACAACAAAATAAAAGACATTAATAAATCATTTTTTTTCTTTTGCTTTGATTAAAAGTGGTACTATCAATTTGAATAAATTAATTACATTTAATAGAAGTTAGATAAATTTGAAATAAAAGAAGAAAAAGAAGCTACAACACTAATGAAATAAGATTACCTTACTAAGTATGAAAATTATAAACTTCTAAATGCAAAAGATATAAAGCTTTATTTGAGAACTTTAGATTTTTTATTCTATCTTATAAATAGTACAAGATATAATATTATGTAGGATTATTTAGCACCTTATTTAATACATATTGAATCCATATATTTTAGATTGATAAGAAATCAAGAAAATATTTTGTTACTTGTAAGAAACAAAAGTTTTGGTGTTACAATATAGAAGCTAAAGAACAAATTTATAACTTAGTGGTTATAGTGATGTAAATAGAACAAGTATTAAGGACAAAAATTCAATGAATCAAATAAAAAAGTGAATTTTTTTTTTTTAAATATATATATATTTGAGAAGAAATTAAAATAGCTATTTTCAAAAGAAAAGAAAACTAGAGACTCTTGAAATTAGACCAAAAGCAAGAATGGAATTGATAAGAATAAAGAAGTCCTTATTTTTATTTCTATATATACTATCTAACAAGGAGCTATGTGGCAATGTTTTATAGAACCTCCAATATGTATTCAACTTGCTTAATACATGTCTAAGTTACAAAGCAAGCTTCTTATATGTTTGCTACATGTCTAACTTATACCACAAGTAGCCAACATGTGCAACATATGGCCAATTTATTGGCTAAGTTTTCAATCTAGTAATCACCTGTAGACACGCATTAAAGCAAAGCCATATCTTTGAAGCTTTTAAGAAGCATTTCTATATTATATTATCAAATTTATCTACTTTAAACTTCTTCTACCTATTCATATTATTTAAGTAATTATTGAAGTGAGTATAGATATCCGTGATAGTAAGTTGTGTAAAAATGCTTTATTCAATGGATGGTTTTATATTCATATTAGGTAGCACAATCATCACTTGGTCAAGCAAGAAGCAATCATTAATTTCCGTTTTGTCTATTAAAGCAAATTTTGTAACCTTTGTTGCTCCAACAAGATAAAATTTGTAGCTTTGTAAAGTATTAAGAGATAATGACATTTCCAAGCTAGAAAAGATTCTTATTTATGACAATAACCAAAAGACTATTATTATTGTGAAAATTTGGCATAATATGGTTGTACAAAATACAAAGATACAAAACATCCTTTTATCAAGCAATATGCAAAGAAAAGATAGATTAAATTAGAATATTATTCTATAAAATAGATGGCAACAAATATCTTCACAAAGTCTCTTTTTAGAGATAAGTTTGTAGCTTGCAGAGATATATTAGACCTTGTTCAAGTAAAAATTTCTTCCCATTTTTTTTAAAAAAATATTAAATAAAATTGGAAGTAAAGCACTACAAGGTAGGACTTATCACAATATATAATTACGTTTTTAATTTTTCTAAATAAGCACCTTAATTAAGAGTAAAAAAATTCATATTACAAGAATAGTGGTATAAAAAATAAAATTAAAATTAAAAATGATAATATAATATTAATAATTAATTAATAATATTTTAATATTTTTTTTATCAAATAAAAGATATAAATAAATAAATAATTTATAAATGCTATTAATATAAAATATATTTTATTCTAAAAAACTAAAATTTAGGTTATCTAATTATTAATTGAATCTTAAATTTAATATATTATATTTTATTTTAAAAAAAACTTTAAAAAAAAATTATCGAATACTACATTTTTTACAATTAAATGATTCAAGTTCTTGCATAGATTTTTTTTAAAGAATTATCATCAAATATATGATATTAACAAATAAAATTTTAAATTTAGAATTACATATTGATGCCTTGGAAGTAATACTTATTTAATTAATAATTAATTATAAAATTAGATATTTACATTATCAAAGTTTAATAAATATTTATAAAAATATTTAAAATAAAAAAATTGTAATAAAATTTATCAAAGTCACATCTATATGATATTTTGTTCAAATCTATGTTCATGTAATTATATTTACTAATTTACATTAATAGACCAAAAATTGTTTTAAATTTTTTTTAAGATATTAGAGGTATTAAAGCCAAATACTTTTAAATATGTTGCTATAATAGACTTTATTATAATAGATGTAATACACCTTATTTTATTTATAAAATATGTGATTAAATGAATATCAAAAAATTAGATCATAAGCCATAATTATCTTATTATAATATGAACAAATATGATTAATGTTTACTTATAATAAAAACTTTCTTCTCATTGCAAAAAATAATATATATTTATAAATATTATCATAAGATAATTGTATTCTTTCTTCATTTTTTCTTTCAAATATGCTATTCAAAAAATTATAATAATTTCACCTAGCTTTTGTTTAAAACAATACATAGAATATAAAGAAGTTTTGATTCATCTTTCTATCTTAAAGAGGTTATTAATGTAAATATTATTTGAAAAAATATATGAGCAAAGTTGATATTTGTAGAGTGAAGTTATAGCTCACATTTCTATATTATATATAATAATATTTATATTTTTTTGTTTTTTTAAAATAATTTTACCACCATCTCTATTTTGTCAAAGAAGTTTAATCAAAATCCATAATTATCATGACACTACATTTTCTATTCAAAGAATTGTGTAAGATTTACATCCAACAAACCCATCAAGTTGCACTCTCCCTCTCTTTCTTATTGATAACATAAAATAAACCAAATCCTATCTATCCAAAATCAGCACAGAATTTTCATCAGAATCCTGCATGCATCTTCCGTTACAAACATTAGAAGGTGAGTCATTAAAAAAATACCAAGTTTTAACTCTGAACCATACCAAAACGTGACCTCGAACCAATTGGGTCAACAAAAACTCATCCCCACATCACCTCCAACTCAGACTTATTGATAGAACCTCTCCCCAAACCCTCAAAACGTTTTCTATTACGTTGCACATGGCAAAGCTTCATGAGAATTAGAATCCAATGCCACCCTATTGGACCATGTAGATGTACCTAGCTCTGCAACTGAAAACCAAAAAGACAGAGAACAAAACCTCAACAAAAAGTGAGCAACGATTGCGTTCTTACAATGTGTGCAGCTTTAGAGCTTGAAATCTGGAGTAGCTAACAATCCATGTTGTAGCTTCCACCTCGACGTGGTCTTACAGCGATTCAAGCAGCTACTTCCTCACCGTGGGATCGTATTGTTGCTGCATTGTTTGTGGGGTGGCTACAAGAATGTGCCCAATTGCAATAGATTCGGTGAAATCGGGTGCTGTGCGAAGTGTCCGTGTGAAGTCTGGTCGCTTGACAAGGAATTCACGAGGGTGATCATCTCTGTTGCTGCTGGTGGGTCAGGATTGTAATCGTGTTCAGGAGATGGTTGCAGTGGAGATGTGAGGTGGAGATCGACGAGAATCTCACCGAGGCGAGTTCGATCTGGTGCCAGGGTTGCTTGAAGGGCTCCGAGTGTGACTGGGCGGTGCGTTCAGCCTGGGAAAGAGTATCGCCAGATGAAACAATGTGTTCTTCGTAACTTAACTCAAGTGGGGGGCACTGCTGCTAAGCTGACTTCACGGTCAGCCGGTCACAGCTAGGCTTTACCTTAACTTTCAACTGGTTCGACACGCCTCGCCGAGGTCTGCAATGGTCACACGGTGTGGGTCTACGGGGTTGGTTCAACGATCTCGATGCATTTGTCTCTTGCAATCTCCCTGGGATTCTGAGTCCTCCGCGGCAACTGTTTCTGGTGCAATCATTCGAGAATCAGTGGTACCACTCGCCCCAGAGACAACCGGGTTGGCTCGACGTGACTTTGGACTAGTAAATAGCAAATTCACTGAAACCCTGTCACGGGCCCAACGGTGATTCTCCGAGTGGCATCTGGCCATGTCACGGAGTCCACTAGTAAAATAGCTTTGTTTGGGACTTGTCGTACCATCGTTATATGAAGGAACCCAAACTCCACAAATGTGATATTCTCTCGTTTGAAACTGATGTGTTATGAATCCGGAGCTCGTTTGATGTGTTATTTTACTAGTACGTAGCTGCTCGAGACGCCGATCAAATCAAACGCACAATATGGAAGACCCAGGGGTTCAATGTGTTGAAGCACTGATTCACAAAGGTGTTTTCTATTGCAGATTAGAGCCTCATCACACCCCCTAAGAGCATGTTCTTTCTTCTAAGTTTGGGGAGTCTGTCCTACAATCAAAGAATCATTCTACAGAAGGCATTTGTCAACGCAGAGGGCACAAGCGGATGCAGAGACAGGCTGAGCCATTGACTAAGTTAGGGTATGACCCCGGATACTATTGATGTTGCTTTCACATCCGAAACCACAAGGTGTTCCTTGGTCAAAGCACTGGAAAGGTAGCATACAGCTGGTCGAGCAAATTAAGTTTGGAATCCGAGTTCAACTTTATCCCAACTAAAAGTAACACAGATTGAAAAAAATCGAATCACCTCATTTCAGGTCGTGTCAGCCCCACCAATTATGGCGTTTAAGCCCTTTTCAATCACAATCCCTCAGAGCAGTGGGACAACTTCCATTAACCATCAAAATATCAAACTGCTCAAAATTCGAACTCCCCAGTTGCCTGTCAGAAAACGAGCACAAGGCATATTAGAGACCAATGGGTCTGATAACGTTTTCTAAACTTTTGACTGTGCAAGAGACCACCTATTCCCTCGGAACGATTCTAAGAATGACGTTTATACAGAGTAGAAAATCTCATGGAAATTATTCATGGCTAATATATTGTACTTTCAGATATCACAACCATTACATTATCATCTGAGAGTGACGGCACATGCGATGCTTTTACAATAGTGCGACTTTGACAGCAGCATATCAAAATAACCAATTGACTAATTAAAGAAGGCAAAAAAGCAGGATTATGCTCGAGCACACCAGTTCCTACTCGGCAGCATAGGGTTCACGAGTGATGGTCCACAGCACTCACCTTTACAAATAGAATATCACGATTATTCAGGTGCATGATACCATCCTTCAGAGTACACTTCCACTTGTTCTTTGACCTAGTTACCTGCTCATAATATAACATTATAAGCATTTAAAAGATATGCCTGAATTCAAGACATCAAAGAAGCTGACTTTGAAGAATTGTTAGCTTAAGCGAACAGGCGAAATATATCGACACGTTACTTGAACCATAAAGTGTCATCTGAAGAAGATCTAATCATCTGATTCACATTCGTAAACCAGACGTCCGATAATGACCCAAGATTCAAAAAAATTACCCAGGCAGCCACGAATAACAGGATAGACTACTGACCTTATCAAACTGGGCAAGGACTAAATGATTAGTATCAGGTTCGTCATCTCCACGATCTGCATCATCTACATCATCTTCGTCATCATCTTCACATAGTGGCGGTTCAGAACCCTCTGACTCTGTTGGCTCAGCGTTTACTGCAATCTTTGCTTCTGGCACAGGAAGGTCTGTCAAACATGTGGTTCAACGTCAGGGAGCTCTCTTCTCACTGGCACAATTCTCTTTCAGCCACATCAAAACACTAATTCTGACCACCAAGACTGGCTTCAAACAGTCTCAGATGTCCACTGTACTGGAGCGATATATTGGCCAGATGTAAATCACAAATAAAACAGTTCTGTTTCTCACCATCCTCAGGCTCATTGTAGTCCTCTGCGACAGCCTGGTATAAGAGCATAGAACACAAATGTATTGTTGAGCACAAGGCAAGAATGGCCCTCATCACAGCTGAGGGAATCTAAATTCATTCGACACAACCGACAAGAACTTGCTAATTAGACTTCCAAAAACCAGTAAGATAAACAATCAAGTGTCAGACACCTACATCATCATATTCGTCGTCAATACCATCAAGTTGCGCAACACCTGACAAACCCTGCAACAGTTTGGCGTGTATCAGCTGCTCAATTGCAGCATCTGCACTTCGCCTGTATTGCAACCATAACCGTAAATCTTCACTCCTACCAACGCTTCTCTCAGCCTGCCAGTTTCCCAACACCTCCCGGCCCTGATCGGGGTGAACACGAGGATTAATATCCAATCTGAAGCACCAGAAACCTAGCCTATAAAAGTTTTGCCGCTTTTGAAATCATGCAAAAACATATTTCAACAAGCGCAGATACAACATGCAAGTTAATGAAGAACAAAATAATGATGGTAAGACATCCACAATAACCTGCCAAAACCAACTTAAGATATCAATATAATCGTGTCATTTGCGGAGCGCAATAGGACTGACCTCATTTTCACAAGTTTCACCCATCGATGTAGACAGCTCATCATCTACAGCACCATCTCGTTGAGGGATATAATACTGTCCAGAGGAAATTTCATCGTGTTTTCTCTTGCCTGTAGAAATGGTGAGAAAATCCTGTTCCAATCCATACCACTTTCAGAGGTTATCATCTACGTCCCATACAAAATAGTAAGACAGAAAATCCGTAACCCCCAAACTGTTCCAAACATGACAGAATGTGATACACAGAGAATAAGCACCTAGAAGTATCATCAGTACCTTGGTAATAGGAGGTGCGCCTGGCGCTGCAACAGGTGCTTGTGCTGTATCAGTATCTCCTTCTCTTTCCTCATATGCTGCGGCAAGATAAAGCGATCAATGATCCATGTATGAATAAGATCACTTGGTTGTACACAATATTGTAGACATTCCAAAATATATATTTTACATAGTGTGTATCTTCAACATAACTTAGATCTTTCACAAGTATAAGTGAACTGTAGCTGCTGAACTTGATTGTTTTCTAAATTAAAGTGCACATAGGTGGCTTCAGCTGGGAAAAAACATACAAGTTACATTCGACGCCTTTACTGGCGCAGAACTTACTTTCATTCATATTGAGTTCAACTCCACGATGTTTTTGATTCATCCAAGAGGCTGGCTGTTGCTGAGACCACCACCCGCAGATTCACAAAACTGCCTGTCAGAAGGACTCTAAATTGACACGACTAAACATAAGCCATATCTATAACAAAATTTCGGGCTAAGTATATGTTGAACCTACAGGTTTTATGATCATTAAGACGTCAACGATGACAATTCAAGTCAAATTCTTTACAACTTCTGAAAAACATGCTATTGATAGAACTATTACAATGATGAAAAGAATAGAATCTATATTCTTGTCACAACGTCATGTGGAAAACCCAGTTCCAAAGATCCAGCATCCACAGAAAAAACATCAATTCTAATCTGATCTAAACTGCCCTTACACCTCATAATTTGGTGTAAAAATGCTCGAACGCAACTCGCGTACTCTGGGTGAGCCTTTCTACGAGCGAACAAACTGAAAAATACAATCTTAACATGATACAACGTACCATGTATGAACTTGGCGTTCCGTTTCCAATCCTAGGAGCAAGGTGCTGCTGACCAGGGTCAATCTGCAGGGATTCCTCGCTGGGACCTGGAGGCATGTACTGAAACATCACAGGCTCGCGGGAACTAGTTGATGCGGGCACCTGCGATTGAAACGTATCTTTACATGCCAAAGCTAAAATTTCCCGGATACCACTGAAGGTTGTGCGGAGCCCAGATCTCTACTAACATCGTTCTTCCCCAACTCATACCGTGAGTTATCTCACGTTATCAAGATACAGAGCCATAAACTAAAAAAGTGTTATGGATAAGACAACAAAGCCATACCCGAGGGAAGTCATTAGGCGGAGTCTCGTATTCCTCAGCTGCCACATAAGGTCCATTCAAATCGAGTACTGGAGTAGCTACTGTTTGAGGTATAGGTTTAGCTGCTGGGTTTGCAAGAGGGTCATGAGCAGTAGGATCCTGAATTGCGCCTGACTGCACCAACTTCAGCTCCCAAAGCTGAGCACATTTACAGGAATCAAAAAGTTGAACACAAGTAAGCAACACCATGCCCTCTACTGCCAAACTCATCTCCGACATGAGACGAGCTGAGGAGCTTTGCAAGTAGAATGGGTTGGAAATCCAATAAACCACTCTTCAGTTCACCAGCGTCATGTCAATAAATTTTAGAAAGAAATACCACTATAATGGACATGACATTCAAAAACCACACCTCAACTAATTAGAGTTCCCGCTTCAACAAACTAGAGTAGCGAAAAAGACAAGTCCCAGAAATGCAGGCATACAAAGTACAGACATCCCACTACCACTAATAAGTGAGTCCCAGACTCCAGATTTTTATACATCAAAAACCTCCAAAACAATAACAAAAAAGTGTAAGGAACCTAAAGAAAATGACGAAAAATTCTTACCGACTGAAGCTCGTTGAGAACATTATCATCTACTCCTTCACTCTGGAAGTCAATGCGTACATTGTTGATTACATCTTCCACAACGTGGAGATAAACATTTGATACACTCATTGCCATTTCCTTCTCCTTCGCTTGTTGCTTAGCGTTCGACATCTTGCTTAGGTTTGGTACAAAGTTTCAGATACGCAGCCCTTAGAACCTAGCACTACAAGAATCACTACCAAAATTATGCCGCCGGACAACTTGAAAAACTACAATTATCTTGGGCTGAGTAGGTCTAGTTCTTGTACTTTTGTCCGAAAGGTTGAGGCTAAGAAGTGATTAGATAATCAGTAGACAAAAATATTCGGAAGTAAAGTTATGGACTCCCCCAGCATCTGCAATTGATATGAAGCCAGTGACGAATGTTAGAATACTCCATTATGTCATTCAGTAGCAAAAACATTTTTTTGGCTCAAAACTGCTTCCTCACCGAAATCCTTTTCATGGATTTCAATAGAAGTCGAAAAGCGATGATAACTTGACAGCCTTCACATTGCACACGAAGTAGAAACGCTAGAGCGATATCATCTCTTTAGTTCCTAATGTGCGATTGAATATGAAGCACGACCTAAAGTGTAACTCAATGGTTCCATGACCATTTGTTCCTCTACAAATGAATCCCGTTACGAGACAACCAACCCCATTTCAAGTTAACTACTGTTTCATCGACTTCCGACCCATCAAAAATTGACACCCTTCTTTCGTTCGTTCTTACTATCAAGTACTAGATTCCTAAAATAAATAAATAAAATAAAATAAAATAAATAACCAGAATACACATCCATTTCTATTAACCTTCCAATTCAAGTACCACACAAAAGAATAAGAAAACTCAATGCGACCATAAAAATTCCCTCGTCCGAACAACACTCACTCCTTGACGACAGCACTGGCGGCGCCGGAAGCACCTACCAGAATTCGAGTGAATGATTGACTTAGTAATCAGCAATCGCAGAAACAAAGAGCACGCACCCGCATATCATTCTCGACCCTCACGAGACTTTCATACGAGGTAATTCATGCAGGGCAGCCATCCATTGTTGGCGGATAATGACATCTACGACTCTAGCGACGTCCGCTAAACTCAACTCCCCGTGAAACAGAGCATCACGCGCAAATAGCAGGCAAAGCCAAACCGTGTGATTCTGCTCCAACACAGAATCTCACATACAAAAGTTCCTACCACTCAAACAAAAAAGCACACGCATCGAACCATACATCTACCCCAATCGACCCTAATCACAAACCTCAATAGTTACCCAACGAAGCCCCGCTTCACAAAGAAAACACTCACAAATAATGTACGAAACAGAGCATCCGCTAACAAGAAAACTAACCTAGAACCGGAATCTCAAACGCCTGAGCCTTCCCCGACATCTTCAAAATCCTAAAACCCTCTTCACAAAACCTACAACAATCACTCGACCAAGCTCCCGACCATGCAATGCATTCAAAATACACCCTCCCGCTCCCCTTCACTACACCTCCTCTACCAGCCGCCAAACTCACCTCAGCTAATTTTGAATTTTGAAATTTAAATAACCCAGAGCGAGAGAAGAAGGAAAGGAAATGAAAAGGTAAAATAAAATAAAAAATTAAATTAAATTAAATTAAATTTTAAAAAAAGCCAACCACCGCCACCCAAATCCAACGCGCAAGACGAAACCCAACTCCATCCGCTGCCTAAACGTCCACCTCTTGCGACACACAAACGTTCCAGTCTCGTCCTCGCACAACCCACCACCAACACCACCCTCCCCTTCTTTCACCGCACACAAACACACACATACTCTCTCTCTCACTCTCTCGCTCTCTCTCACGCACGCTCTGGTTTCCTCTCCACACCTCGTTTTCCCAAAACTCAAAAAGAATGGCCCTATAAATGCAGGAAGTGCTTAATCGAGACAGACAGCAGTACCAGCACCAAATCACCTCAAATCGCTGGATGTGTGAGAGTGTGTTTCGGTGGGGTTCAGTCAGTGAATCGTCGTGGGTGTGAGTGGATCTTCTTCTTCCTCTTCTTCTTCTTCCCGCAGTGACCGTGCGAGAGGGAGAGCGGGAGAGAGAGAGAGGGCTTCCTTTCCTTCCTTCCTTCCTTCCTTCCTTCCTTCCCTGCAAACTTCGAGGAGGAACGGGAGCCGCTGGCTCTAATTCTCACGAATGCAAGCCAGGTAACCCCCCTGTTCTCTCGCCCCCTGCATTATATACTACCTCTCATCTGCCACAATGGATGGATGAACTCTTTCTGTTCACTGCCCCCCAGTCAGCGTCCCTCCTCGCATCCATCGCCGCCCTTCTACAGTATCGTATACAGTGGGGTTTGATACGAGTATAAATTACAACAATCGTAAGTTGTACTTCGACGTAGCCTTTGCTGGAAGGGATCAGTGGGGTGGCCCTGGAGACCTTGAGTTTGAAGAGGGGACCATGTTGTGACGATGCTTCTTCTTCTTCTTTTATCTTTTTCATTTACTTTTTTTCTGGTTGGTATTTTTTTTTTTCTTTTGTTATTTTTGTTTTGAGGAATAAGTCTTATTTAGGTGTATGCGAGTGATAGATGAGTTGGTGGCCATTTGTGCTTTGTGATAGGGAGGTGTTTGGTATGGCATCTATTTGTACTTGAATGGATGTAACACCCCTCCCCCCCATCTTGAGAGGCCTTTTTGATTTGTGAAGTAAATGTGTATGTATGAATGTGTAGAGGATCTTTGTTGCAAAAAACATTCTGTATTGGTAGTGTAGAATTTGACCCAAATCTAAGATTTTCAAATCATTTAAATACAATCTATGTTTGAAGTGTTTTTTTAAGCATAATCCTAAAAGTATATCAACTGTATATAAAATATCCATAAAAATGTTGTACAATTATTATATGTTTTTTTCTTTATTGAGTTCAAAAAAAATACAAAATCATTATTGATAAGTACTCATGTTAATTGTACCATATGTTTTTTCACATAGATAGAATCATTATTAATAACTTTTTCTTTATTTCTTTATTTCTTTTTTACTGAAACTGAATTAAATTAAATGGCGAAATTGGCACATTGTGAAGTGTGTATTTGTAATGATATTACATTATAATAAATTCCTCAAATATTTTTTGTAATTGTATTATAATGTATGTTAATTGTTTTGATATTAGTAACGAGTTTAATCTGAATTTGATCAAATCAATTGAAAATATTTTTTTTTTATAGTCTTATGTTCCAATATTCTTTGTTTAATGAAACGTTTGTAGTAAGATTTGTTAAATATCACCTTAGCTTTTATTTTGAAAATTCATAAAATATATTTTTTTATATAATTCGTATTTCAAAATATAGGAAATTAATTATATCATGTCGTTTAAATTTTTTAGAAATCAAGAAAATTAGGTTAGATTAATTTTGTGTTAATTGATTTCAGTGGAAAGTTAATCAAAAAATCTAGAAATTAAAATACGAAAATATCATCTTCACCTTTTTCATGATTCGGGAAAAAATTGTAAAATGGAATAATTAAAAATAAAATTGCACTTGATTGAATATATATATATATATATATATATATATATATATATATATTTATATAAATATACATCAAATATGGATGTTTTGTAGTTCATTATGAAAAAAAAAAGAAATAAAATTTCCAATTTGATTATAATCAGAGTGGTGGTAAATATATAAATAACATGAAAGTATGAAGATGGTATAGACTTTGTAATTTAATGAAAATAAAATAAAAATAACAAATTGAACAACAAAATATTCTAAATCTTATCAACTAAAAAATTTTAATTTAACAATAAGATGTAATATGAGGTTTTACATATAATGCAACAAAAAAATAATGCACTTTAATAAAAATAAGTAAGAAAGTATTTACAAATTCTATTTCTTAAACTATAATATTTTTTATTTTATCTTTATATAAGATACAAATTTCTACACATAATATTTTAAAAATTCATATAATTATAAAAATATACAATAGTTTCTATAAATAATAAGGTAAAAAAAGTAACCTTCTTTGCAAATAAATGTTCTTTGCATATATAATGTTCTTTGCATGTTCTTTGCATAAAAGTGTATGTAATATTTTTTTTGGTCTATTTTTCTTATTAGAATTCAATCCTTTTACCAAAAAGATATGTATTTGGCTTTTACTAACACCAAAGTAAAATAAAATTTTAAAAATTAGTGAAAAAATAATATGGATTTTAGAACTTGAAAAAAAGAATACAATAAGAGAAAAATCTAAAACTTGATCCTTAATAAATGCAATGATAGATTTGTTTTTAGCTACTAATCTAAAATATTTTTTAAAAAAAATATCCATAAAAAATAAATTTCTATTAGTATATATATAAATAGCTCTTAAAATTTATATATAATTTATTTAATAAATTAAAATCCAATATTATATTTGATAAAGACTACTTTCATCAAATAAATAAATAAATAACACAAATAATTAGTAATTTTTAATAATAAATAAAATAAAATATATAATATAATTTATAATTAATTAATAATTTTTCATTGAACTAAGAAGCTATAATTTTAAGAATTAAAATTATAATTAATTTTAGATGATTAATTTTAATATTAATGTAATAGACTAATAAATTCAAAAAATAATTAAAATTAGCCAAAAGAATGTACTAATAAGATATAGCTTAAAATCAAATAAATATTAAATGAATAATATCAAATAAAGAATCTAAAATTAATTCTTGCATATAAGGTTCAAAGTATTATAAAAAAAAAAAAAATGGCATCATAAAATTAAATTTTTATACAAATTTTACAAAGAAAAAAATAAAAAAACAAAAACCACTAATATTATATTAAAATAAGAAAGACTAGATGTTATTTTATATAATATATTTTTATGGTTCTATCCACGAAATTGTTTTCTGTTCTATTTGTAACTGCTATTATAAATTATTCATGCTTAAATATTTACAAATTAATAATTTTAAAAAAAACATTTGCAATGCATATTGGGTAGTTACAAAAACTCTTAAAATTCTTCTTTTTTATTTTTTTATTTTTTTATTTTAAGTCAAAAAATTAATATCTGATTTATTTATTGGTTAATAAAAAATTTTCTTATAAATATTTAGATTATTAAAATTCCACATATTTAAAACCGTAAAGAATATCATCTTTTTATTTATTAATTAAATTTAGACAAATATATAAATTTATATTTTATATGTAACTTTAGTTTTATATTTACTTATAATAAAGTATAGATAATTTGTTTAAAAAAAATATATTTTTATAAAATATTAGTGATTTCAATAATTTATACATTTTTGTAATCATATACCTTTTTCCTTCATACAAATAATTGAAGAGGCAACAAAAGACTTGAAATATATATAAATAAGTTTATAATTTTGACAAACATATGTAATTTGTTTTTGCATTAGATTGTAAATTAGTCTAAATGGGTATTGAGTTATTTTTTAATTTTTAATTTTTCAATTTTAAAGTTAAAGATTATAAAGAATATTACTAAGTATATATATATATATATATATATATATATATATATATATATTTAATATTTCATAACGCCTTTAGAAGTTTTTTTGGAGTAAAAGATTTAGTTCTCTTTCTCTCTATTGTTTTTGTAACTTACATAAATATCTTTGTTCAATAAATAGAAGGTTGATTTTTTCTAGATTAAAGACAGATTTTTTCTTTTAGTATTCCTTTTAATCCAAAAGAGACGTAATTCTATAAAATATATATATAATTTTTTTATTATATTTAAATTAATTTATAAGGATAATTAGAAATTCAATTATGTGATATCATTTTTTAGTTTATTTATTATTTTGATTTTTATATAACTATACACAAGTATATCTAAAAATTCCAAATTAAGAAAAAAAAATTTCTATAAGAGAATAATTGTTAAGGTATATTTTTGGTATAATTTTTTTATTTAATATTAAATAAATTTTAATACTTAACTAACTTTTATTACATAAAAATAAGACTTTAGAAATTATGATTTATTTTTATTTTTATATAACATTTAATTTTAAATATAAATATATAATATATCAAAAACAATTTTTTGATGATAATATATAACCTCTATATAATTATATTTTATTAGAATCCAACCATGTGATTTCTATTAAAGTTATGCAAACTCAAATTTTATACATGTATTTATTTTATAATTGTACTTCTTAGTTATAGTTGCAACTACATTTGGAAAAAATTAAGTAGTTTATTTACAGTTTTTATAAAATAAGTAAAATTGTTTTTATAATATTTTTTTGTAATCTAAGTTTTTATTTTATTTTAATATTTTATTATTAATTAAAATTTTCAAAAAATCTATGGAAAATATATCACAACTTTTGAAACCAAATTATTACGTAATTTAATACATGAAGTGTAGAAAAATTTAATTACAATGTATTGTAATCAATGGCGATGTTTTATAAATTATTTTTATACTTTAAAAAATACTTCTATTTATTCTTATTTATAAAACAAAATATAATTTACTGCATTAAAATTATAGAAAAATAATTTAAAAATATTCCATAAAATTAATTAATTAATTTAGTATATATATAATATTTTTATTAAAAATTTTAATAAAATTTTAAATATTAATTTAGTAAATAAAATCTAAAAGTATATTGATATTCATTAAGAAAATTAACTATTGACTTTGATTGTTGAATATAATTGAATTATGGTTGTTTATTATTAAGTACCAATATTAATTTGCGTTAAGTAATTTGATGATATTGAATCAAATATCTAAGAAGTTTACTAAATAATTTCAACTTATTATTTAATAATACTTAATTTTTTTCTAATTGTAAATTATTTATG